TATTTTCATAACTGCTCATCTGACTAAGGTGAGGTACTTGTTGTGGCACAAGAAAAGTTGGACTGTTTGAGGGAATTGCTTGTGTGACTTCCTGCTGGCCTGTGTGGTAGCTGAAGTGCTCTTTGTGACTGGTTTTGTGCCTTAGAGTGAAGGACTCTCCAGTCTTGGGCTGTTAGCAGTAGCCCTGTTTCTAAGCAATTCACCCTGATTTGACCCTTTCAGAAGTGCCCCCAGAAATTGTCATATTACAGGGACAATGGAGAAGATGGGACCTCAAAAAAAGGGTAGGGCAAAGGTATTGGGGTTTGTGTGATCAGACAATTGAAAACCCTAATCCCAACCCCCTGCTCCAGCCCACTGAAAGCAGGGGAAGGTGTGTGAGAGAGTAAGTGGGGATCAGAGCCTCAAGAAAGGGGTGGGGTAAGGGTGTTCCCCACTGTGCAGTTAGAAAGTTGGTAATCCTATGGGGCTGCCCAGAGATGGGGACCCCACTGCTCAGGCTGGAAGCAGTGGGGATGCCCATCCTGTGCTGGAGGGGGTCAGTGGCAATGATCCTGGGGGGCTCTGAACTTAGGTGTGAGGAAGGGTACATACTGGCTCCCATGGATTTCCTATGGGAGTGTATACCCCCCTGAATTTCCCCAACACCCCCCAGTTTTGTGAACTATAGTGCTATCCAGCCCACCTTCACCCTTGTGGTCTCACCCCTTATTGGCCCTGACACTCTCCCCCCCCCCCCCATTTCAATTCCTGGGGAGGCTACTGCTGGCTTCTTGCTTGCCCTGTTATTGGGGGATTGATTGGGGGAAATGTGCACTGCCACCTGCTTACACTCAAAGCAGGAAGGGAGTCATGCACCACCCAATCATCCTATGCTCTGGTGCTGGTGGCTGTGGAGAAGGGGGTCTCTGATAAGGGAAGGAGGTGGGTCCGTAGGAGGAGCAAAGGGAAGTGGGACTGGCCAAGGGCTAGTCTTCCCCAGCTGGCAGGCTTAATACCGGTCTGAAGGATGTAATCACAAAGAAGAGCAGAAATCATGTCCATGCAGTCCCCGACTTATGCGGATCCGACTTATGTCGGATCCGCACTTAC